TAAATATCAAATGTAATTGTTAGATGTGTATTATGACATGAAAGTTTTAAAATTGAGTTATCCAGAATATGGTTTTTCCTCCAATTTGTTTTCTATAAAAGTTGTAAAATTTTAAATACAGAAAAAATGTTTCGAGTTGTCTAATGAATAATAAGTTATGACAAAACATCTATGTGCCTATGTTCAGAATAAAGATAACAGTTCAGCAACTAAAAAATATTTGCCAACAATCAGTAATATATCTCTTCACTGAAATCGTCCTAGTAGGGACTGCCTCAATTGAAGAGGTACCTGTGGCGCACAATAGTCAGATTTTGTTTTCATTTTTAGTGAGACATTTCAGCTCTGCGATAGTACATGAAAAACCATACTTTGGATTGTTATTTCTTTTGTTGTTATTGAACCCAATGGAAATTATCTCAATGTTGTTTCTCTGATGTGAAAGGAATGTGTAAATAACTACTGAAATTATTTTCTTCAAACTGGATTATGTCTGTGTATGTTTGCTACAAACTTAAGGAACCCGTCTTCCTTTACTCTAACTACCACAATTTTGAGTTTTGAAATATACGGAACTTTGGAGGGTTTACGTTATTTTTCCTTCGCACATGAGAAATGTATTCCATTTGATTTTAGAAATATGCACAAATGCAATTGAGGTATTCAGCAGACCATTCAAAATCCATATAAGAGGTGTATGGATATTTCTATATGGTTTGTTTGAGAACAATATTTGTACGTATCTGGAGCAATATCTTATACGTCTAGGAGGTTTGAAAAGAAACAATTGATCTATTTCAAAATGAATTAAGCGGTTGCCGGTTTATATATCTCATTGTTGGCAACCATGATTTTCGTCATAACTGTCAATGTCATTAGTCAAAATAATCAAGATATTTGACAATCTTTCATGTTGTGCTCGATTTGAAAAACACGTTACCAGTAATCCTATAACATCTAAAGTGGGCAATAAAAATTAGATAATAGTGAAAATATGACAAACTTTTCAAACCTTCAAGCAGTTAATGTTTAAGATGTATCAATTTGTTTGTTGGAATAAACTAATGTATGAGATGCAGGTTGTAATGTTTAATTTTTTCACCTTGAATTGGCAAAAGTCGAAATTTTTATTTGAAACTTGGTATTTTGAATTTAATCTCGATAATTCGACTTCATTCTCGAAGTTTTCAGATAAATCCCGAAATTTGATCCCTGATTTCTAAAGAACATATCCATAAAGCTACTAAAATGAAAATTAAAGAATGAAAATACTCGACCCCTTTTTACATTTGAAAAAAAAAAATTATAAAGTGACTCTGGATGTTATGAAAGTGAAATAACGGATGGTAACGAATCGAGAAAAAATGAGAATTTCTCTCGAACATGATATTCCAAAAGAAATAACAATCTGCTGAATAAGAATGGTAGTTGTCATGTAAGTCCGATAGGCTTTTCAATTTCATTTCTCTCAAGCGTAGTAGAATAACGGAACGTACTATATTGATATCATACGTCATAATCATCTTAACGTTAGTGACCTGTCATTGTATTTGCTATTGGTTAAGAGATGTCGCCTACAACGTACTTGCTCACAACTGAACATTTGTTCGCAACTCTCAATACATATTTTTACAATACTTTCTACCAAAGATGCATAAAACTTCTCTGGTGTTATCACTTGCACCCCTTTTCCTTGTGAAATATTCTGTCAAAAACTCATGACCTACTGTTGATGAATGAACAATAAAAAGATCCCAGAAGTTTCAGCCTCCCATTCACAGAGGTGATGTGTGCACTTGACAATGTCAAACTGATACTTTATTTTTCCAATGTTTACATTGATATTACGTGAAAGATTTTTTAGATTATGGTCCGTATATCAAAGATTTCAATTGAATACGAGCGACAGATTTCGATGCTTGCTCCATCTATCAACATGTGTAAAAAGTTGGGTCAATCTCATTATTGCCTAGAGTTTTTGACAAAACAAAAAGGCATCTGTTAACTCACCAGGGTTTTTAATCTCTGTATAGAGACTATAGTTTTTATCTATCTCATTTTTCCTAAGAGTATTGAATAACGTCCTGTAGGTACTCTTTGTTAATAATAGATAATAGCCTCACTCTGAGCAAAACTGAAAAGATTTGAAAAACTATATTACTATTATCATTCATTATTACTGAAATTTTGTTAAAATGATATCAAAATCAGCACATAGTTTTTTGTCCTTGAAATGATGGGGAATTCAAACAACTGAAAGGTTTCAACTTTTAATATTCGTCACCTTTTTGATACCATAATCTTACTGACACCATAATAACATACCACATCTTTTGACTTGTGTGGTACTATTTTAGAACAATAAGGAGGAAAAAGTTGATATTTCTCTCCTTCTATAAGGGTAACATTTATAATTGGGCTCATCAAAACTAAAATGAATTGATTGGTTTCTTCATTGCGTGATTGAAATAAGTCACTGTCTACACTGCACTCGTGTTCATCTAGCAGTTCTGCTTCTAGCACTGTGTTTCCGTATTCTCTGTAGAATTTTCTTAGTACAAATATGACTGTTTCTCCTTCTAACAGGTCCAGAATGTCAGACTTTTTCATATATACTTCATGCTGCCACCTAGAGATTCTAGTTTTCTGCAACCTAAGAGTTTTTTGAAGCAGAGAAGCAAGTCCTCCTTTTTTGTAACGTTTACGTTTTCTAACAGGCTGATGATAAAGTGAACCGTTGTCTGTTTTTGAACTATTTGTTTCACTAGTATCTTTGGTAATTTGACTACTTTGTGGACTACAAGCAGGTTCCAAGCATTCTGAAGACTGAGATATAGTTATCCTGGTTTTGCACAGGGCTTGGTCAGGGGAGCAATTGTCAATCAACTGGCTGGGCTGGGAGTTGAAAATATCAGGTGAAACTTCTCTTGCAGGAAATATATTTTGTTTAACTTTGTTGATCCTTTTCAATTTGGAGCGAACCTTTTTCAAGATACCACGTTTACCTATAACTGGAGATGCTTCGTCATTGGATATACTTACATCAGAATCTTCCACAAGGATAGGTGATAGTTCTTCCTGTGATACACTGCTTATGATTGGGGATTCGTCAAAATGGCTCATTCGGATTGCTGGAGTGTCCAGTAAAGTAACTGTTTCGTTTGAAATACAAACTTGGGACGAGTCAGAACTTTGGGAAGCATTTGTGAAAGATGCCTTAATCCAGCTCTTGGATTTATTCGTTTTGATTTTCTTTCTGACATAAGTTTCTTCACCTTCAGAGTCAGAACTCGTCCAGGAAATGTCCCTCTGGCTATTTTTGTGAACCTCTTGGGAGTCGTGATAAAATTTATTTGCCCAAATTTTCTTGGCAGTCATAATTATTTGATATTTTCGTACACTTTAAATTTCAGTCTAAACCAAAATTATGGAAATTACTAAATTATATTGATTTACAATTCATCGACATTTCTAGGTTATATTATTGTTTTTGATTGCTTCCAATGTTGCCACTCGCCACTGTTGCCAGGGCGAAAAATATGTTTCCTACTATTTTATCCCACAATGAAGATGTTACATTCTATTAGAGAATAATTCATTGAGAATAATTCATTTGCAAAATCTTGAATGCAAAACGCCAACGGCCAGAAACAGTTTTCTACACTCAGTTCATTTCGACGCCGAAGTTCTATCTAAAGACAGCAGCTTCAGTGTGAGCATATAGAAATGTGCAAATTGGCATGCGAAACTTAACATGCCATGCGAGTTTGATAGTTGAATTTTTGCTTGAGACATATATGTTCAAAACACTGAAAAATAGTTCTTTGCCTCTTTGCTTCGCTGTTTTCTTAAACACATCAATGTTTCCAAAATTATGTCTCCTAATGAAGAAATTAATAATACTCAGCCAACATGGTTACATTTCTGAAATGTCCTAACATTGGTACCGCGATATCGCCTTGACATGTCCAGAGACGTCCTGCTGACGTACCTTATCTCCTTCATTTTCTTCCTACACAGATGTATCTTTAATTTAATTGCTCTTAAATGAATTTTCCCAAGTGGAAGTTTCTTTCAGATCAAAAAAACTCTTTCGAAACAATGACTTTGATTTGATTCATTTTCAACAAGATGTCTTTGAAATAAATAAAGACTATGATAGTTCGATTTAACTTTATTTTTGAAATATTTTCTACAGTAATTGGTATAATTACTTTATATATTTTCAAGAAAATTAAAATCCAGTCATCAAAAAGGCGGATAAAGTCGTGAAATTCCCAAACAGATGACTTCACCTGAAGATATGTGTATACTCTGATTGTAGTGAGTTGAGTGCAAAAGAAGCAACCAGTCAGTGTATCATGTCATGTGGATCCCCCAATGGGGAATGTTCCTCAATTTAGGTTATTACAGCAAATGCAAGTTTGAACAAAATAAAGTTGATTTTGATTTATGAGTTTTTCAAATTCACTTCGAAAAGTATTCAAATTGATGTTTCAAATGTTGGGTTTTAATTTTTAAAGGGATTTGTTTCTAATTCTCATATTGGCAACAGCGCCTATATCAAATTGAAATAATTTATATGTACCTACATATTCTACTTTAAAAAAGGAAAATCATCTTTATAAATCAACAATTAAGGCATAATATAAATTATAGTTCAATACCACCTCCACAAGCCACATAAAAACAGTTGTTTTTTTATTCATTTATATAGAGGAAGATAGGTGGTGCACTAAATGTCATATGTCACAGAATGTCTCGGAACTCGGAACATGAGTAAACAGAATAGTACGCCTCTGAAATATGTCATCTTTGTTTGTCTCATACAGGTAACAGATTCATTGTCCTTTATTAGCTATAACCGATGTTGCCAAATGGTGAAATAGAAACGAATCCGTTTATATGTTGAATGCATTATTTCATTCCTCTTTTTTAAGTATTTAAATAATTTTTTAAAGAGAAAGGTTGAAATGATAACTTCAAAATGCGTTGTTTTAGAGCTCTTTTATGAAAACTACTTGATTTTCGTCAGGAGGAACATTCCACATTCCGAATGAATTGTTTTTTTGGGAATTTTAGCAGGTTCCCTGGCACTATGTCATTGTAACTGAAGTATACCTTAATTTTTATCCTCCATACTAGCTAAATAGGAATCACGACCCTCACTTCACTTAGATGTTACAAATCCGACTTTCCCATGACTACTGAGTCTCTTTTGTTCATCAAAACTAATACCAAGATCACTAAGTAAAACGCCCGTGCTTAGCGTCTTGTAGATAAGGATGTAGGTGTTGATAGGAATGTGCAATACCACAATTGTAGAAGTTGAGCATGTCTGTATAGGCTAAGTGGTGGGACTCGGGTTTTGTACTCAGATTTTCGGGTCTAGTTCCAGAAGATTTGGTTGAAGAGTCAGCATGACCTCCGTAGGCCATATTGAAAAGAGCTTCTGGATCGCAGACAAATTTGTAAACATACCTTTCACCTGAAAAACAAATGCGATTGAACAATACTTCAAATATTTCATCAAAATTTTGTGGGGTTTGAAAAGTTTTGTCCGTTTTAATAATGCTCCACAATTAACTAAAGAACAAATTAAGTAACGTAGAAGGCCTCACTATCACTCTCCCTTTTCATTTTAATTCATAAATTTTGTAGGGATGAATATAATGAGAAAACAATGAACAAGTTTTTCTTTATAAAAAAAAATACCTGCAACTTTTTGCATGATGCCTTTTTCGTAATAATATCTCAGAGATCTACTGAGTTTGTCGTAGTTCATAGCTGGTCTATTTTTTTGAGCACCCCAACGCCTTGCAACCTGAAAATGAAAGTATTGTTACTGACATATAAAGAATATTGTAGTAGTAAGTAATAAGAAATAACTAATAAGTAATGAGTAATAAGTAATAAGTAATAAGTAATAAGTAATAAGTAATAAGTAATAAGTGATAAGTAATGATTAATGAGTAATAAATAATGAGTAATAAGTAATAAGTAATGTGTAATAAGTAATAAGTAATAAGCAATAAATGATGAGTAATAAGTAATGAGTGAAAATTAATAAGTAATACGTAATAAGTGAGTAGAACAAATCAGGAAGAAAGATATCAAATCGCATTTGGAGTTAAACTAGAGAAATATTCATCAATAGTGTAGACACAACGGTGGACATAAAATTATGAAACACGTTTCGAGATTTATTGCATATCGGCACTATTAAAAGTTATCGGTGTTATCATTTGACCATAGTCCATTAAAAACGATCATGTGGTTTGATTTTATTACCTCCTCAGGTTCGATCAGCTTGAATTCCATCCCTCTTCCCGTCCATGCTATACAGCCAGCGCTGGCATCTGGAGCATCTAGCAGGGCAACCAAAAATTGCCATAATTGCAACGAACCTCTCCTACCGGTGGAATTTTGAAGATTAGAATTTCTGCTATCAGCAACAGTTTTCAATTTTTCGTCGACTTTTTCTGATAGTTCTGAAAAAATAACTTGATGAAAGTAATATTATTTGATAATAGTAATAATGGTAATAATAATGATAATGGTGCATAGTCCGCGACCATGAGAGATCAGGAACTGAAGCATTTCTCTTTAGGGCAGCTGTTTCGTGTCCATCACATCACATTACACATTACATCAACTCATTTGCACATAAATGAATTGATAGCTCCTTCAACATTACGCGGAGATGGCCAACTTGTCCCTTTACAGACACTGCTGCTTCTGATTTACATCTACACTAAATGAAATCTTATTTTTTGTATCGTACACCTAGCAGAGTGACTCCCGCTCAATGTATTTCTTCCATTCCTCGAAATCGCATCTCGACGTTTTACCGCACGGGGGTTAGTTAGAGCCATAATCAAATTTGGACCCCCGCGGCGCGACTCCAAAAGCTGGTTATCCTCGAGAACGTGGCATCAAATAATATGTTTATCCGCGGGTGGCACTCTACGTACCTATATTTTAATAGCGAAAGAATGAATTTTGATTTTCAATAAGGTCGCGCGGTATTTCCATCACGTTTTCTATATCGATGAAGATGATTGTATGCGCGAACCTGATAGGAATTTTGAAATTATCCAAGAGTGGGCTCGGATTTGAAAAGCGGCGGTTTTTGTTTTCATTCGATCTGATTGAAATTTCTTATCTTTGAAAAAGTTTGTCTGATAGTCTTAGCAAATTGTGACCTGAATTTGATTTACTTTTCAATTCGACAAGTAGAATTGGAACCTATTTCGTGAATATAATCTAATGAAAACATTTTCACAACAACAGAATCAACCTGATGATACCAACTGAGTTGATATTATTAGGAGATAATAAATGGGTTTCAGTCACATCTTATTATTCAAACTGAAAAGAAATCAAATAATTTGGCACCTGTGCAACGTTTTCGACTTGGAAGATTCGTCGCAAGTTATTTCCCACTATGAAAAGCAGAAATTAATTTCGTTTGGTCGACCCGACGAACCGATAGATCGGTTTCGGGATGACTGCCCCATCATCAGTACCGGGCATGGTCTATTCAGAACGATGTGAACCGTCTTAGTATCACGACTAAACAAATATAATTCCAGCTAGTCATAGAATCTCTCTGCAGTTGATTCAGTGGGATGTCCACTGAATCAACTGCCCTGAAGCCCATTAAAAGCAAAAGCTTGGCAAAGTAGAAAAGAGTTTTGATTTTTTGGCTGGAAGATACTGTTGATCCCAGGAGAACTATGGGTTCACCAGTCTTTGCAAATCTTTTCATGGAAGACTTCGAAACCAAGGCTGTTCGACCACAAACCTCTTGCGGGTTCAGATACGTAGATGACGTTTTTGTTATATGGCCCCACGGCTCTGAAACTCTCCATAATTTCCTTCATCATCTCAACGACTTTCACCCAAATATAAAATTCACAATGGAAATTGAAACCAATAACTCCCTTCCATTCCAAGATGTCCTCATCACAAAATCTAATAACTCCTTTACCCACACGGTCGACAGGAAACCAACACATACAAACAGGTACCTCAACGCAAACTCCCATCACCATCCAGCACAAACCCACTCCGTCTTGAATTCTCCCATCCATAGATCTATCAATCTCGCAGACCACCACAACAAAAACCACAAGAGCTGGCTCAACTCAAATCAGCTCTCCTTCAAAATGGATTCACAGACCACAAAGCTTTCCTTCCCTACATTAAAGGTGTAACTGACAAAATTGGTCAAATTCTCAAAAAACAGGACATAAAAACGATATTCACCGCCAACATTCAAATTTCCACATTCCTCCGTTCTCCCAAAGACAAAATTGTCAATGAATCCCAGGTTATATATGAAATTCCATGCTCCGATTGCGATAGAACATATGTAGGCCAGACCAACAGACGTGTGACAAGTTGGGTATACGAACATCAACTTGCTGTCCGAAAATCAGACCCATCCTCAGCCCTGTCCAAACATCATCAAGAGACACGACACAACATAGACTTTGCGAACAATAAGACCATCGCCACAGCGAATACACTACAAGCTCGGATAATTCGCGAGGCCATCGATTTCGATGGCGAATAACTTTTTGAAAAATGGTGATAAAACTTTTTTTTTCTACGGGACTCGATTCATTCAAGTGTTAAGAAGATACTAGATTTTTTTGACATTTTATGTTATAAAAAATATATTTCTTTTGATAAACTCTCTTTAGCGGCAGCGCGCGCATGCCGTAACAGCCGCGCGGAACCCTATTTTCAACGTCAAATTAAAATTATAAATAATGGAGATAGAGTTTCGGGAGTTGGAACTTTTTTATCGGAAATTTCCTCCTCTTTAACGAGCTTTTTTCAAAATTACTCGAATATTTATATTTTTTGAGTTATTAACGAAAAATTGAATACCATTTGTTAAAAATCTTATTTTGTTAACAATTGCAATTCTTAACCTGCACCAAAATCCTTCAAAATCCTTCAAATCCTTCATTTTTCTAGAGGTGATTCCGAATCGAATGAGCTGTCGCTCATATTTTTTGGACCTTTATCTCTATTTTTCATGTTTTTGAACTTGTTGATTAGACTATCATACAAATTTTGCCGGACTTAGATATCTTGCCCCGTTCGAAAGTCGATACGGCGGACTATTCACGTCGGCACGATAGTTTCATAACATATTCTTGTACTATGATTGTTTTTGATTCATCTGACCCTTAATTGTCATCGCACTATAATGGACATATCAATGACAACCCCCGTTTATTACCGTTATTCAAACAGTCCCTCCCGTTTATACTCGCGTCTACTTTTGATGAGAAACAGCGAAGGTCGAAAACAAAAACATCAGTTTTATCGAATAAAAAAGGAGCTCCTTGTTACAAATTCAACAACGAAGGGTTTCGATATTAATAATCGGCTTGCTCGTGAAAGTAAACTTGCATTTGCTGCTGATGGGCACGGGGATGAAACCCTCGGGGTGTATTGTAACGCAAAGTGAAGATTTTAATTGAAACTAATCAATATTAATACAGCTATTACATGCACCCTTTGGTACAATCCACTACATAATAATATATGCATACGGTGATGGATTCGACCGTGTTTACTATTACTAACCCTATTAGCGATCGTTTGGATTAGTTGATGTTTCGGTATATTTCGCAATTTACTGGTCGGAAGATTGTGTGCAGAAGTATTGTGATTCTTTCTTTCACACACCAACTAATAGAGTTGTGCCTCAGGGCAGTATTTTAGGCCCATTACAAATCCTACCTATTGAAGTAACACTTCATTGTGAAATTTCCATTAGATAGATGTCGGGATGGAAAGAATCGGGATTCTTTCCAATTCCATAACCTAATTCGTCTGAGTCCGAGTATTTGAAGGTTTGTTATTTAGCTCTGTTACGCCAGCGACTCAAAATACGGAAATCGCATTTGCGAAATGCCAAAATTAGGTACTTTTTAGGTGCTTTTTAGGTACCGAAGTCGAAAATTAGGTGTTCTGTAACTTACACCGCAACTCAATACTCAAAGTTTCGTTGCTAGCATTATGTAATGCTAGCAATGCAATGAAAATAATAATGAAATAATGAATGTTGAGGAAACTACTAGGTGCTTATTGAGTGTTAAACGGTGAGGATCGTACAATTTTCTAATCAATAAACAAAAGCTTCCAATTTCGCTTAACATCAGATCTAAGAATCAGATCTCTCTAAAACGAGGACGAATGCTCAATTAGGTATAAACTCAGCGTGGTAATAAAGGGCTAATTAGGTGCTTGAAAGAAATTAAGATGAAAACGACCGTGAATAAGCGAAAAAAAATATCGGGATACATGATTTGAGAAAAAAAATTAACAATATGCAAATGCTCGTAAACTGATACATAAACAATCAAAATGAAGTGATAATCAAGTGCTCACTAGATATTCATATTATACCTAGATTCTATAATGCCTTAGGGGTTCATGGACCTGCAAACCACTATGACTGATAAACTGAGTTTTTATAGTATGCTTCTCAATAAATAAGGGCAAGAGAGTAAAGTGCTAATTAGCTGCTCATTAGATATTTATAGTAAATCTAGATTCCATAATGCCTATGGGGCTTATGGATCTGAAAACCTCTATGCCTGATGACTGAGTTCTTACTGTACGTTCCTCAATAAATAAGGACATGAGAATAACGTGATAATTCATAGTAAACCTAAATTCTAATTGATTGAAAAAAATTGAATTGAAACTTTTGTGTCCTAACATATATTAAAACTAAAATATCCTAATTATTTTAAATTTTTTAATTTCTTTTGCAGGCCTCAAAAGTTTAAATTCAATTTTTTTTCAATCAATTTGTGTTATAGAACTTTTTTATATTATAATTAGTGAAAAAAACTTAAAAATACTGATCCATTGCAGCGGTAATGAGTAATTAATTTTGACATATTGTTACTTCAATTATTGCAATTTGCTCAACTGACAATAATTTCTCATTTTTCTCAATTTATGAAATTGATAATTTTATATTGAATTCATCTAAAGATAAATTTGAATCAGTCACGGTGGTTTTCAGGTTTACTATAAATATCTAGTGAACACTTAATTATTACTTTATTTTGATTATCTATGTATGAGTTTACGAGCAATTCAAGACTTTATTGTATATTGTTATTTTTTTCCGCTTATTCACAGTCGTTTTCATCTAAATTTCTTGCAAGCACCTAATCGGCAGTTTATTACCACGCTTAGTTTATACCTGATTGAGCATTCGTCTTCGTTTTATAGATACCTGATTCTTAGATCTGTTGTTTATCTGTTGTTTATTAATTAGAAAATTTTACGATCCTCACTATTTAGCACTTAATAAGCACCTAATAGTGTTTCCTTAATTTTTATTGCGTCGCTAGCATTACTTTGAGTATTGAGTTGCGGTGTAAGTTACAGAGCACCTAATTTTTGACTTCGGTACCTAAAAAGTACATAATTTTGACATTTTGCAAATGCGATTTTCGTACTTTGCATCGCTGGCGTAACAGAGCTTTGTTATTTACTGTTAATTTTGAAAATTTCAAGGAAAATGACACTATGAAAACTACACTGAATCAGATGATGACTGGAATAGGGTTGTCAGTTGTGTGGTTCATTGAAAAAACTATTTTATCATTTGCATCCATGGTGATTTGGCAAACAGACGTAATAAATGACATAACTCATGTAATGTTTGTGCACTTTCATGTCTGAAATTCAATCTGAACTTGGAATGGAATAGTTTTGTCAACAGAAATTCGAAAGAGTAAATTGTTCATACTCACCATTGTAATCTCTATCTGAAGGTTCCCTTTTGACCAACATGTGGTTTTCCGTACTGGAATTGGTTGGTCTTTGTATACCAGGTGAGCTAGTTGATGCTTCTATTCGTATATGGGGCGAAGTCATTTTGTTGTATAGAGTGTTAGAATAGAAACAGCCAGCATGTTGGTACGCAGTGGAATATATGCCTTCGAAGTTTGCAGTAGTCGAGTAGGAAGAAGGGTACACCGTAGTTTTGCTCAGGTTTTGAAAGACTTCTGGTATAGTCGATTCTAATTTCAGACCTGTAAATAATTGAAGTTCAACACAATATTTTATTCCAAAGTGAACATGGAATGTGCATGATATTATAAAAAAGTTCAAGCATTGAGGTTGTGGCAACATATTCCTCCGTACAATAAAAACTTTATTTTTAAGATAGTCCTTGATGTGCTTTCTGAAACTTGGTGAGGGTAAATTTATGATACTGGATGGTAGAATTTTTTATAGATTGACATCGAGCGAGTTATTAGAGGATTTTTGTAAGTTGAACCAGTAAAATTGGGAGTTGATCGAAAATCTGTCTATATTCTTTTGTATTTCAAAGAGTATCGGATATATGAAAAAGATGGTAATGTCATAAAGCCTAGTCTTCTGAAAAATGGCCTGCACAAATCGCGGAAACCTGCGTTTGATTGGAGGAGTTGCCCCAAAGTAGAGTTCCATAGCTAGCATGAGAATGAAAAAATGCATAATGAGCATATCGAAGAGTTTCTACCTACACTAACAAACTTTCTCAATTGCCGGAGTAAAAAAAGATAAATTGACAGCTTCTAGTTCAATAACTCTATACGAGGTTATTAGTTCAAAGCATCGTCAATTATGCATGTAGAGAGAAAAATATCTACCATTTCATTCGTTAAAAATATAACTCCTTTTACATATCAATCATACATAATATATCCTTCCATTGTGGATCAACGTATTCCTCATTATTAACCTACAGTGTACCTAACCTACAGAACGAATTGTTTTTTTAGATAATTTGATTTACAGCCAGTTTGCAAGTATGCCCCTTTACTATGTGTGATAATTTTTTTCTTTATACAAGGAATTGGGCCATTCGGATATGCAGTTGGTTAGTACCTCGTTCCCGGGCAGAGGACGCGATGACAAATATGTTGATTGTCGTTCGCCTCAGCCTTATTCGAGGAATGATACTCTGAACAGGATTCAGGTTTTAATTATGGGAAATCATTGACTTTACGCTGATGATGGACACTACCTTGTACTTAGGTGAGGCCAAATAGCCCGATATGCGGGAATTGCTTCTGTGGAGAATCCTGCACTGACACCTGTCGGATGTAATTCAACAATCTCCGTGGTATCAGCCAGAAAAGTAGGTGTCAGTCTATTAACCTACAGTGTTGGTGAAATGAACGAATTTTTCTTTTATATAGTTTGATTTACAGCAAGTCTTCAAGTATGTATATTGGTCAAACGTCCAGAACACTGAAAGATCGGATTAGTGTGATTGTAAATTATTTGGAAATATAAATTCACATTCGAAGAATATTAGTTTTATCTGCAACTGCAAAAGGAAGAGTTCACCGCGTATCGATTAACACAAAAAAATATCTCATTGTGAATAGAGGTAAACCGACATGAGCATAAACTACGAGAGCAAATGTGACATCATCATAAAGAGGGCGTCCCCCGCTGGGCGCCGACCTAGGAATATATACAAAACTAAATGGATGTTTGGCCCGCTGAAAGAACTTCTGACAGGTTGATCTCTGAGCACAGCATGCACCGCGATTACTGCCTTCAACTTCAACCGCCCGTGTGCTCGATAACCTACACGATAATACGTCTACGTACACTTGTACGTCATCTGGAAAATTCGTTATTCGCGACAACGCGTTCGTTGTATTGTGATCGTGGGACGTATTTCGGGGAAAATATGGGTTACGAGCGGATTTTTTATTTAGTAATGCTGACACTTCCTCTTGGATCCCACTTCTGATATAACGCATTCCACTCCTGAAATTTTGAATGCCGCTATTCTCAGCATCTCACAAGAAATCTGCTTAAAGCCTCTGAAGAGGAGGGGTATTTCTTTCTTGTTGTTTCAGTGATATGAAAAATCATGGAAAAAGCAGTGAACCATCATATCCTTGGATATTTGGGAGGCTTAAACATCTTCAGCCTTAAACATCTTCAGCTATCGTCAATATGGCTTTCGGAAATAGAGATCAACAGGCGGTCTTCTATCGTATGTCACTCATACTTGGAATAACGCAATCAAGAAACATTGAGAGTCAAGAGCTGTTGAGCTTGATATTTCTAAGGCTTTTAACCGTGTGTGGTATGAAGGTTCACAGGCCAAACTTTGAAGCTGTGGCTTGTTGGATCATTCTTGTGTATGGTTCTCCAGATTCCTGAAAGGAAGTTCCCTGTAAGTGGCCGTCGATGTATACCTCTTGAATGTTTTTATCATCAATGCTGGTGTTCCCCGGGAACCCATATTGTCTCCAACCCTCTTTTTATTGTATATCAACGACTCATTGAAAAAACGAAGATGCCAAAATATTGCTGTGCTGACGACAGCACACTTGTCTCGTCATTCCATTTGGATTCCAAGACGTCAGCTGCGGATGCACATCTTCTCCGGCAGCAGGAGGTTGCATATCTTATTGAGGATCTAGAAGGGGTTTCGAATAGAGGTGAAACTAACCAGGTTGAATTTAATGCCACACACACCCATGCATCGGTTTTCTTCAAAGAGATAAATGTCTCTGAACCAGATATAATAATGCCAGGACAGACAATTCCGCTTTCTGCTTCGATAAGTTTGTTGGGGGGTTGAAATGGACACCAATATGTCATGGCACAACCATGTCGCTGGAATTGCGGAGGCTTCTTTTCAAAAGCTTGAAACACTGTTCCAAACCAGAAAAGTGAACATACCTCAACAACATTTGATGCTTTATAAAGCTCAGATCAGACCCTCTTATGAGTATTGTTCTCACGTATGGAGCTCCGCACCTAAGCATACCCTTAAGATATTGGATTACATCCAGCAAGGAGCCATCCGCCTGATTGGAGATGCGAGCATCATTCGCAACATTGTTAGTCTACAAAGGTTGGAGAATTTTCTCTATTCTATAGATAATTTCACGGAAAGTGTTCAAGTGACACCAAGAGCGGTACATATCAGAACGACGGCTGCGCATCGTTTTGAGGTTCAACTCAGTACACCTCGAAGTCTTCTATTAAAGTACTCCTTCATTTGGAGAACTGCATTATTGTGGAATAAACTCCCTGAGAATGTTTCTCCAAAGGGATTTATTCTCCAGCGAATCAAATCCAATGTGAATCGCTACTTCTGCACAAGCACCGTCCTTAGAGCGCCTCAAGGGTTTTCCTGTAGTGCTTGTGTTTTTTTCTCAAAAAAACTTCATTTCTTTGTTGACACAACCGCACACTTCAACTGAAACTTCAACTAATAATTAAATGTCTATCTCTTTATCAGATCACTTCGTACTGCACTGCTCGCTAAACTTGACTTGTATACTCGATATGCACGTGGGTAGCGTTTATATATGGTAATGGAAGTACCTTAAAGCTGATAGGAAATCCGCTAGGAGTTTATCGAAACGACGCGGAAACTGGAAGAATCGCGAAGCGCCAGTTGAGTTGAACGTGAATTTAACAACGTCACAATTGGTTTAAGACGGCCAGCGGCGGCCGGCGTTTTTTTTTTTTCATGGGATGATTGACAACAATGGTAATACTTTCTTACTATTTTGAAGTGGGCCGCAAAATCAGTACAACTCAACTATAATAATAATAATAATAATTTTTTATTCCAGTCAGATAATATTTATATGATATTGAAACAGTCACAGACATAATGTATACATAAAATCAGATGAAATGATAATATTGGATGTTTTGAAGGTTATAATAATAACCAGGGCATCCGAGTGTCATAATTCACTTTATCTTTTTGGTCATGAATTCTGTTATATCATAGTAACATTCATCACATAGAAAATTTTTAAGTTTTCTTTTTGAAAACATTGACGTTAGAAGATTCCCCATTCTTTTATATAAAGATGATGAAGTAGAAAGCCAAAACCGTTTTCTTCTGAAATATTAATCATTTCTAAAAACAAGCTGTTTGGAATCTTATACCACATTTTTCGATTCCTGAACTTACTGAAACTAGAAAAAAGAAGGGGTTTTCAAAACTTTTCATACACTTCCAATGTAATGGACAACCCGCAGGATAAAGACAAGTCGATGGAACAGAAAATGTCTGGGATTTACGAAAAAACGCTGTAAGTTGTATGTTGGTCAAATGAAGCGCACTGTAATAGGTTGCTACAAGGAACACTTTCCGCATATTCGGTTTCGGAGACCAAATAATTCTAGTGTCGGCCAACATGTTTTAGAGAACAGCCACAAAGTAAGCAAGGAATGCTTGAAAACGACAAGAATCTCCGTTTATTACTCTCTCAAGTAAACATGAAATTTTAATAATTTTATCAAACAAGGGGAGGCATGAAGCACTCTCATCGACTTGAATAAAAGCATTGACCTCGAGGCATTTTTCAAACTTCAAGTGATATAGTTAATTACTCGTGTAAAATATCTTGAATCAATATTTGACTCACCATTATTCGTAGAGTGACTCTGAAACTCAGAATCCCCGATATATTGTTCGCTATCGTCTGTCTCACAACTATTTCCTGTAACAAAAGTTTCATCAGAATTGGAATTCTCTTAATCAGATATAAAAACGTTATTGTACATACTATAAGTTGGCAAGTGCGATTCTGCAGTTTGAGGATGGGATGTTATATTACTTGTTTTTATTCAAGAAGTTACTGGAATAAATGGTGGATGGGACTAGAAAAAGTGACGAAGGCGCAGATAATTATAACGCTTTGATTTGGTCATATACAGTTTTTGCACAGGATAATAAAGAAATGTCTTTTTGTTGTATCTTCTTTATCTGCAGAAATATTGGAAATCTGTTAATAATTTTCAATAGCAACTATCATTGGACAGAATGTGAACATATAATTATTAGGGGTGTCCTCCGATTTGGGGTACTTCATACTTCAAATTGAAACTACTCTCTATACCTATATCTTACCATTTACGATATCTTTATGCAGTCTCGAATTCAGGTTCCCAGCAAAACTAGTTCTCCTGTTAAATACAAAAGTTGTAGGAAATATGAAGATCTAAAAACTAAGAAATACCCTATTTCGAGCTTAAGTACGAGCTTTAATGTACGATTATTCAATCAACAAAACTACAATCAACCGCGTACATAAGATAAAAGATCTTGGTATAGCATACGACAGTAAATTTACATTTACAACACATATAAGGAATTTGACTGCTGATGCAATAACATGCTTGGATTCATTTACAGAAATGGCAAAAACTTCAAAAGAATTGCCACCTTAAAATTGCTATATTTTGCGTATGCCAGATCTAAGTTAGAGTATGGCTCTGTGTTATGAAATCCAGTTTACGACTACCAAAAAACATCAATTGAGACCGTGTAAAGGAAGTTCCTAAAATACTTATGGTCTAAAAGTTGATGGTCAATACCCCACGAGAGGCATCGATCATAACATTTTGTTGACACGATTTGATATGACATCTTTGGAAAATAGGAGAGTTATCCTTGATACGAAATTCCTGCATAAATTACTAAACAACAATATTGACAGTACTGTTCTTTTACCCGAGATCAATTTCTTAGTACCAAGAAGTGAAGGGCGACACAATCTGAAATTTTATTGCGAAGCATCACGCACAAATGTTATGCTACGATCACCATTCAATTTTATGTGCAGTAGCTTCAGTACTGCTACATTGCATGACTTGTAACTTTTTGAGTTATATAGTCAGTTTTTCATTCCTCTTTTGAAATTCTACTCATACGAATATTTTGTATATATATATATATACTTTGTTTTAGCATTTACATTTCTATATTCCATTATTTTTAATATTTATTTCATATATACTCTGTAATAATAGCATTTCCTGTAACTGGGTACTCCTGTTAGAAATAAATCGTTTTTTTTAATAACCATGCGTTGAAACCAGTTTTTCAAAAATCAAAAGTAGTATTTTTTTGGTGGAATCACCTACTTTCAGATGATGTGTGAAAGATAAGTAACGTTATTATGGAAAAAATTGCCAGAAAAAGTGAATAACTGAAAACATAAGATTTCATTTCATATTGACTATTTGAAGTTCATGAAAATTCCAAATTGAAATATGCGAAAATGTAAGAAATTTTTGCAATATGGGTATTCAATATCAAATTTCAAATATTATCGGCATGAAATGAAACATGACTGCAATATTTCTCAACAATCGGGAATTGATATATCGGATTTTAGTGACATTTATGGAATAGAAAATTTTATACCGAAAAATGTAGTATAACTCTATTCACATTTGTAAAAATAAACATTTTCAACAGAAAATTAAATTATACAATACACAAATGTTACTTCAGCTCGGTGCTATACTGACTTAATGCAAATAACGCAATTATTGACTAAGTTGTCCCAAGTATCAGTAGGAAATCGTATAAACGTTCGATTTTCCATCCTTCACAAAATTGAAATGATCCAGGAATAATGATAATGAATAATCTCTCAACTGAATGGGTACGAATATCATGAAAATTTCGATACTGGAGTGATTCAAATCCCAATGTGGCACGCCAAATTCACACCCAGTATACCCACAAACTAAATGATTGGGTTGGAATTTCGGGTAACCATATTATGGGACCATTTTTTTGAAAGCAAACCAAAATTGTGCTCAGTAATAAAGTTTTACCAAGCGTTAACAACGGTCATCCAGTTAGACTCTGTAACAGAACCAGTGTGACGGTTCCTCGATGATAACTTTTTGGGTCGATGGATTGGAAGGAGAGGTTCTACAGAATGGCCACCGAGATACCCCCATTTAACATCATTGATTTTTTCTCATTAGGGATGGTTGAACGCAAAATTCAACTACTGTGAATAATTTACGGGAAGAAATTATCAGGTACTGCATGCTTTTAATATCTGACTTTCTCCAGAATATAAGGTAGGAAACAGTAGCTCGTTTATATAGGGTCTTTCAAAAGGACTTCCAAACTTTGAAAATTGATAACAGCAATATTGTTGAAGCTACATCTGTCAAATTAGTTGTCATTTATTGAGTCTGTTCTGCCAAATCAATATTGACAACAACAATTGCGAATAACAAAATTGTCCTATCAAAATGGGTGTCCTGTTCGGGCAACGTACCGCGCGCTTCTCCCATTTCACGGTTGCCGTAATCGTCCTACCAAGAGGACTATTGGCAATGTGGTGGATAAACTTGGGTCCACTGGTTCAGTAAGCAATTGAGCAACATCCGTACGTCGAAGAAACGCAAGATCTGCCGAAAACATCGCTGCTGTCTGCGAAAGTGTGCAGGAGAATCCGAAAAAGTTGAGTTCGCGTCGCTGAACTCATTCAAATTGAAATGCACTGTATATATCTAACGCAGAATCCGAGCTAACTGCACTCCTCTCCACTTGTATCTCTGGATTTATTTTCTAAAGCATTTTTATGGAACTCGTATACGTGAAACTCCCTAAGGAATACAGTCCATCATTTAACCTTCTGCATAATTGATCAGCAACAACAGGTGAAATGCTCGAAAGGCCACTTTGCAGCCAAACACGACTCTCTCACTCTGTTTCGCATTGAAGAAAGAGAAGCATAATCGCCGCTCTCGCTATGGTCGTTCGAGGAGTACGGAGGGGTTAAATGCTCGCATTTGGGGTATTAATTATGGAGAGGTTGGCATTACTTACCTTCTTGATGCCAGGGTTCTCTCCAGTCCGTGGGGAATGCTGCTGAAACACAGATTTTTTCATTAGATGATTTAGCAGATGTGTAGTAACATTATCGGTTTTACGATATTAGTATTGCGTGTTTCGAAAGCATTGCAATCAAGAAATCAAAGATATCATATCACTGAAGTAGCAGTTTTAGCTTGATATTGTTTATTGTTCAAAAGTAAGAGGAAAACTATAGTATAACAATTTTTAATTGAAGGTAACTCATATACAAATTGAACTGAGAGATAACGGCAACAATGTTAAATGTTAGAACTAAATTCTTACCGGGGCCATTTTTATTGTCTATGCATCGCCATTGTAAATAATTGAAAAGTAAGATTCCATAAAATTTGCCCCCCGTAACAAGATCGCTTCTGCATATCGATAGGATGTACGAGCGAATAGGTAAACCAGTTCGTTAAATACTTTGAAACATCGGTAAACTGATCAACACTTCGCAGGTTTGTTATATTTGTATCCTTAAAATGTCATAAATAGTCATTCGGTTTCTTCATTATCAAGCGTCCTTATCTGCATAGGCGTAGTGTGTTCTGTTTCTTGTGAAGGTGACGGATACACACAGTATCTAAGATCTGGCAAGATACTACAGAGTTACGCGGACCAACGGGTAAAGGGCAACGACTAATTGTCCCCCATATAGGTAGCGAGAGTGGCTTTTTAGACGATAGTGCACTAATTTTTTTATAAGAAAAACGGTGGATTATCACGAAGACATGCCCAACGCTTTGAACGATGGTTTGAATCCCTTCTTTCACGAGTCGAGCCAAATTCGGTAATAGTAATGAATAACGCTTCTTATCACAGCCGATTAGTAGAACAACTGCCAAGCCCAGGCAAGCAGACATGCAGAGTTGATTAGGACAAAAAGGAATTCCATTTTCCGAGGACATGGTTGAGGCCGAGCTTATGAGTGTCATTAAACAGCATCGTGACAGATATCGCCAGCATGTGGTGGATACAATAGCTCGTGCTGAAGGCATCACCATTTTGAGACTTCCTTCTTACCATTTTACCAGACTTTGTGTTTATGAGAGTGCGCAGATTCACCAACTAAACAGTCGGTGCCTGCAGACTCCCCACTCTACATTCCATTGTTGATATCAAATATTACCTAGTACCAACTTTATCTTTGAATATATTTGCGTTTTCATTACATATTTTTTATAATTATGTCGAATATTGCGGAACGTTGAATAGAAAATTTAATTGCGGAAGTTGAAAAGCGACCTGCATTATATAATGAAGCTGGAAAGTCGTCTTCAGTTCAAGCAGGTTGGAGCCCAGCTCCCTTACCCTTTCAGCTGGTTTTTGTCGAAGAAGAACAAATGGGTATATAATGAAGTAATAAAAGAATATTCCAATGTTAATATAATAGCTTTCCTAGTTAATATTCTTCAATACTTTCAATACAACGCGTCAAAATATTATATACATAAACAACTGTTCAGACTTTTCAGTTGGTGATCTGCTCACCCGCACCAAACCGAACAGTTTTTTTATGAGTAGTGTGCCCCTACCCAACCCAACCAGTCTAAACTATCGGCCGATAAAAAGTCTGTAATGTGCGCTTGTCCTGATACCTACCGGATTTACAAAGTTAAATACTGTTCAAGAACTGATACATTTATATTGATATGAACGCAAAGACGCATTGAAATTGCATTGATTGTATTTGATCACTAGTGAAATAGTGACACTAATTGACTCACCAGTAGGTGGCGACGTCTTGTAATGCTCCTGCTGATGTTGCTGGTAGCAGGATGAACTGAAGGGGGAACCAAATAGACAACCCTGAAAGAGAAATAAAAGATGTTTGATGATATTCAAAAATACTCAGGCACTGAATCATTGAGATTACGTTGATAACTGAAGCCAATTTTGAACAAAAACACTCTTTTCCTTTCTTTAATCCGGCCCATTTTAAGTTTCCTGGAAATGGAGTTGAATCGCAGGTGATCATTGAACAGCTACCAGCTGGCCGGTAGATGTTGTAGGGCACAAATACAAGAATTCGACTGTCAAAGACGCTTGATGTAATATTTCATGTGAATTCTCTTTTATATTGTACGTTCACTGTGCTCATGACGTTCACTTATGAACGAAAATAATCCCATGAAGTTCCCCCCTCTGGATTATACCCTTCACTGCTAATATGTGGTAACAGTAACCGAATACACGTCTCCCCAGAGTCGAGCCCCTATTGACACAAATAATTAAAAGATCGCCACACTCCATTTATTAGAGTAGGGTTAAGAGAATTTCGTATACCTGGCAAATTAATTAAATTGTGTCAATTAACTATCATTGGGGAAATAAAGTGCAGTTCACTAGTAATTGTATTGACAATATTCAGTTGAAAAAGTTTTGTTTGAATAGACACGATTTTGTGAAGATGAAGATGTTTTGTAGAAATAATGAAAAATACTCTAAATTGAATTATCGGGGCCTGTAAACAGTTTGAATGAAATTCTATTATTTCGGTCAATTTAGACATTCGAAGCTACCTAAATACCCACCAAGCTGAAAATCAGTGAGATTGTTTAAAATATGACTAAAAATAAAATTTGAGAGTTCCCTATCTTTCCTTTCCCCTGTATGGAAAAAATTTTATTTAAAGTCAAAGGTAAAAAAAATGAGTTTTTCGCTATTCGAGCAGCGAGCAGCGAGTAATACGAGTAAGTATACATCTTCACCAACAACAATAGTTATATTTGTCAAATTGAATTGCTCTATTGCTGTTTCAATTATCAATACATCAGCATCATATTCAGTTTGTTTTACCAATATATTTTCAGGAGTAAATTTTTATTTCGACATTGAAATGAACCCAGGCTTGTTGTGAGTATTTGTAAGAAATTATAAATTTAGGAACTGGGTTTTATTTAACCTAATATTCTTAAAGTTATAACTTATGTATATTTTATATTATAAGTGTAAGATGCAATGACCAATAGAAAAATATTTTAACATATTTTACAACTACAGAGATGTATATATGTGGCGAACTTATTCATATTTTGACGATTACAACTATTTGAATCATTATATCTCAAAAACAGTGGCTCTTAGAAAAAAAAGTATTGATATATTTTCGTAGATAATTGTATGATCTATAATTTCTGTTTCATGTATTTATATGATAAAACTCACCGTTTTGCTGAAAATCGCGAAAAACTGATTTTTTTGTCTTTTGACCTTGAATAATTTTTTTTCCATACAGGGGAAAGATGTGGAAGTTTCAAATTTCATTTTCAATCATATTTCAAACAATCTTACTGACTTTCCGCTTGGTGGGAATGTAGATAGGTTTACTCTTATATTTTGGTTTAATTTGACCGGACTATATCTCTGTAGTGAGATAGGTTCCAGACAAGCCCAGTTTGTGAATTTTGGATAACGTCGAAAAAACGTTTTTCTGGCTTTCCATTGTTTCTCTGATATACGAGGACTGATCATAAAATGAGGTAAATTTTCAAATTTCGCGCGCAGTCGGTAGCCAAGCGGTTCGGTGTGGGTGCTTTGTTCACTCACTCGAATTGACTGCCGTGCTGGTCGGTGGTTCAAGCCCTAGTCTGAACGATCGATCTTCACTTGCTACCGACAACCCGTGTTAGGAATCACACGTTAAAAGGTAAGACCTCGTTAATCCTTGGCTCGCACAAGTTTCGACTTCTGAGGGTTGTCGTTCGTAGGGGTGCGACAGCTGGTTAACGGAAAAACAGATTTAAACAGATTGCACTATACCTTGAGGCGCTCTAAAAGCGGAGCCTTATGGTAAGAAAGAAAAAAAGAATTGTTTTTTTTTGAAGAAAAATTTATCCTTTTTTCAGAAAAATTATTGTATCACTGAACTAGTTTACTGTAGAAAATGAAACTTTTCGTAGGAATGAGAACAACATTTGTACATCCATTATTTGATATGTTGTAGTGGCGATCAACCGAAAGAAAGATAATGAAAGTCTATTAGAAAAGGAGACTTCAACACCAACAACCTCCTGGAATGTTCGTGAAAAATGTCTCAGTAATCACCCAATTATTACCTGTCCTCAATTAGTTTCGCTTCTCTGTCTCTACATGTGATCTTTTGTTGTGTGTTACGTTCAGTTCCCGTATTTGACAACTTCCACTATTTTATGTGATTCCTTTGTTTGTTTCACCCAAATCCAACATAACTCATAAGTGGAGTGGGTGGACATGTATACAGGGTGTGCACAAAGTAGAGTTTGAAATCGTTTCTCTCAGGTTTATCTCATTTTGATGTGAAGATAATAAAAATAACTGATAGAAATTCTACAGTGAGGAATTATTTATGATGTTTGATTTTCAGAGAAGTTATCTAAATGTTCTAGTAAAAATCTCGAGTATTTATGGGAGGCAATCACTAAATATTTCTGTTATGATAGAACTAATATCAACAGAACAGATGCAGATTCAGTTAGATGATGAAATAAAACTCTGTAATCTAAATTAAGCCAATTGTTATTGATAGAAAAGTGCATGATATTCTTTACAAGTAGTTTTAATCCCACAGAGGAATTAAAATTCTTTTTATTGCAAAAAGGTAAAATCAGACTACTTCAAAAATATTTCAATTCCATTTTCATCCCAGAACTATTGTTTCTAAATGAATGAAGCCCGCTCATCAATATAGGCAATCTTAGAGGCAAACTAGGGCGCAAAATTTGGGGGGGGGGCTAATATTGACAATATTTTTCAATTCTGGGATTGAAAACATCAACATCAAGAAATAACAATTCCCTCTTGTGTATTAAGCAATATAAAAACCAGAAAAACTATCTGCAGTTCAACTGTGAAGTTTCTTTTTTTTGTGAGAACGGTACATAATGTTAAATTGACGTTCCTTTTACGAGGTGTGACTAGAAAAACGGGATTTTTGGTGTAACCCTTCCCATTTTTTCATCCACTATCTCTATACTTCACAAATCCAACTTTCAACTCTCCAAAACATTATTTCAAGCCTTTTTCTGAAAGCCTGTCCACAGCCTCCGTCAACTCACTTCTCCCACTGTTTGAAACCTGTATCGTTCCTTTCAATACTTCGGAAACATAAAAAGTGATACGGAGCTAGATCTGGCGAGTATGGTGGATGTTCCAACACGGTAATTCCATACTTGGGCCAAAAATGACTCAACAATAAGTGTAGTGTGGACTGAAATTGACCTAATTCTGCAAGAACCCAATTTATATGTAGAATTCCATGAATGTCGAAAAATAGTCATCATGACCTTTTTTTGGTAGTGGTGATTGTGGACACTTCCAGTATTGGCGCTTAGTATCTGAGTCATAGGTAACAAAACCATGAATCATCACATGTAATAGCTCTTTCCACTACTTTAGGATATTTCTTAACGTTTTCCAAAATGTCAGAACAAATTTCCATTCGTGAGTTCTCTTGTTGGAGACTTGGGATCCAAGACGCCATTTTGCAACACACCCATAATGAAATGTTCATGCAATATTTGTCCGAATCTTTGGCCAATTGTTACAGTGCTCACACTTCCACTCACATTAAATATTACTGGAGTTTTTTCCCAAGACTAAACCTCGGCACGTGTTTCGATCACCAAGTGATCATCTTCAAGAGAAAGATTATGTAAACTATTAGGTATTGGTCCACCATCTTTATTCATAATATTATTATGTTTACTTATTTGTACACTCTCATAGGCATCTAAATGCCTGTTGTTGTTAACTTGTCTAACTAATCTTAATGAACTAAAGCCTATAGAACGGTTTTGTTGCAAAATATGATGGGCGACTGCTGATTTTTCTCGACTTTCATATTTTAGGTGTGCTTATAGTGTTCCTTATATCTCATTTTAATAGATCTTTTTGTCTATCCATAATATTTTGCATCGCAGTCCTTGCCTTTAATTTCGTTAATTCCAGACTTTTCCGAATTCTCGACTTTGTCTTTTGGATTTCCTAAAAGGCTCTGTAGTGTATGACTTGTTCTAAAACCACCTTCATACCTAGTTCCAGAATGAAGGGAATATCGAATTAACTAGGCATAATAATACTTTTTTGAAGTACCTATACTTCACAAAAACACCTATGAAACCTAGGTAACAGATCATTCACGGTGGCTCGTTTTCAACTCAAATAATTTTCTGCTTCCAAACTATGAGTTTCAGACTATAAAGTGTTCTACTTTGTTGAAATCTGTTCATCATGGAACATCTGATAATGCAAAACAATTGATCCATTTAAAAAAGTAGTGCATTCTCTGGGGTTGCGATAGGGAAAGTTAGATGTGTGTATGTCAAAATGTGCCCCCTGTATACTATTGTTGGGATGTTTTTTTTCCTGAAAATCATTGTTCCAAAAGTTATTCAGGGCGGCTCGTTTTCAACTCAAATAATTTGTAGCTCCCTAACCATAAGCTTCAGACCATATATTTTATACTTTGCTGAAATCTGCTCATCATGGAGCACCTGATAATGCGAAACAATACGGGGTGATCCATGTAAAAAAATGGTGACATGTTCTGATGCTGCGACAGAGGAAGTAACATCAAATGTGAATATGTCAAAATGTACCTCCTGTATACTATGGTTGACGTGTTTTCTGTATTTTTCCTGCAAATCATTGTGCTTACAGTTATTCAGGGTGTCTCGTTCTAAATGGAATGGCACTGTATATAGTACAAGATTCTCTATCGATCAATATACACTACGACACGGTAAAATAAATAATAATTGAGAAATGTTTTAAAAACTCATGACAATAAAGGACAAAACTTTTGAAACAACCTCATAGTTAAAATATGT